GGGAGTGAGGGAAGGACAGACGCCCACACTTGCAACTTGGCGACTGTTTTTGGGAGACGAAAAAAGAAACACTTGGAAAAGTGAAGGGTTTCATCAGCTGGTGGCAAAAAAATTAAAATTGAATTTAATAATGTGTGCAACGGAGATAGAAAAATAGCTAGCAGGTCGCACTAGGATTGCAAGTGAATGCCAAAGGAATGATCAAAGGAATCCCACAAAAACACCAATAACCTAAGTTCGCCTGCCTTACTTGTGCTTTGTGTGCTTTTCCACATCATTTTGATTTGTCTTTTGCAACTTTATGGAAGTCCATCTCCTCGTCCACCCAACTCTCTCACGCCTCCAACAGGCGGTCTTTCCCCCTCCTCATTGGCTTGTCATCGTCATTCCACCTCGCATGGCACGCCTCTGAGAAGGACACAGGAAAGACTAACAAACGCATCCACCCTTCGCTAACCTGTCTTGTGAGTGCACCCTTATTCAGCTCACCTCTCACCACTCCTCGGTCCGGATGGTGTTTCGGTATGCGGCATACTTCCCTCCTTCATTGTGTGTGCACGGGGCTGGAAATGGGTGAAGCACGTCCACTGCAAACGTTCTTCGAGTTGTTGAAAGTGGACAATTGCGTTATTCTACCATCTAGGCAAGGGTAACCTTCGATCAGTTGGTTGATGGGTCAGTGGGTCGGACCCCACTACGCTTGCACGCCTCATGTGGCAGCTTTTCACTTTGCAACTCCGTTTATTCTACATTCTCTTGCTACGCAAAATAAACATGCATGTCGAACTTGTGTTAATGTGCAGCAAACCTGTGTTTCGGTTCAGTTGAGTTCTTTTTAGCTTTCATTATTTTGTCCGAATGCTTGTTGGACACAATTGGAGAGTGTATTGCCCCTCGGTAAAACCTCCTCGATAAGCACAAAATTTTTCACATGTCTCGGGATACTTCACTAATGGTGTAGAGGTGAGTTGAAACACGAGTAGCTCCGTCATTTGCTCCTCAATGCCAAAGTGTGCACAGTGACGCAGGAGAGAGTGTGGTGTTAGGAGACTGCACCCACGATCCCATGTTCACCCTCCCCATGTGTGCCGCATTTCGTCTTGCGGATCCAAAATGCAAGAGGATTGCTTTCTAATAAGAAGTCGTTTTTCGTTGGAGGTCATTTATTTGCCTTGCAGCGAGTGCCAAAAGTGGTGAGACTTTCCATTTTCTCCTTACTCCTCCAACGTCTTTTCGTTTTCCTCTTTTTTTAGATGCGAAACCTCCAACGTATAATGTGGTAAGTCTGTGTTATGAATTAAATGCAGAGCTTTTGGTACCTCTTTGATTTTAAACCATCACCGTGAGAATTGTTAGAAGTGCAGATCAGACCACTGAAACAAGAACGGTGTGCAATTTGTTTACCAATATCAGGCAGTATCGTTGACCACTGTTGAATTGAGGATACATTCAGGTGTGGGCATGTAATGCGTCTGTGCTGACAACCCGACTGGTTGCCAAGGCCACTCTATCGCAAGAAGCGGATTCTGTCGTCTCCAGTGAACACAAAGTAGTAAAGTTCACAACAGTCTCCTTCTACCCACTCCACTCCCTACGGTCATCGTCTCATAGCTTTCCTGATGCGATTTGCCTGCGTCTCCTTGGTCCCTCTCTTGCATGCATTCCAACTCCTCCTCCTCCTCCTCCTCTTCCTCCTTAGGCACCGAAACACCTCCACTCACGAGCTCACCATCAAACATCCATCCAAGCCGTCAGCCACCGTGTCACCACCATGTGACACACAACCGTCGGTGTTGTTGCATTTATTCTCTTTTTGCTCATGCCGTATCACTAAGTTGTGTTAATACTTGAAAGCCACCAAACGAGGTAGTGCGAAGGGACCATCAGTGGAATTACCTCGATTCGCCACTCAACCTGATTCCCATTCCGCGCGCTCCCATACCAACTTTTGGTGAAGTTACTCCGCGACCCCAAGTGTGGCACAGGGAGGACACCTTCTTCCCTGTTCTCCGCAACGGCAGCATCACCGTCCATGGCCCCTCCAACTACCTTCTTCGAGTGAGTAGCACACCAAACAGGATCACCCTCGAAATAACTGTGAAAGTTGTGGAGTAAATGGAGGTGTCTTTTGTTT